TCGAACTCAAACTCGAATTTGAGCTCAATTCAAACTCGAACTAGATTCAAGCTCGAACTCGAACTTGAATTTGAACCTACAAAAATCTTATATTACATTTAAAATATATAAATAATTTTTCCTTTAATCAACCATCACCAATACATTTTTTTATGATAATATAAACTCATTTCAGAAACTTTATAGGATGCATACAAGAGTAGTTATGGTTGTAGAACAGGTTCTAAACACATAAGATCAAACATGCCCCCACAGCAGGCACCCATTTACAATCCTCCCCAAAGCAAAACAACAACTTTTGCCATAAAAGTAACTCAAAATACAAAGGCAAATCTTCTTTAGAAAACACGAAATCCAGCAACAAAATATTCCAATCTACCTGTTCATGTACCACAAAACCCAAATTCCCAAAAAATAATAACAGTAACATGCCTAAGCTTCCATACATAGAACCTATAAAAAAGAGTAAAAGACAATAAATAATAATAAATTATTCTATAAAAAAGCATGAAATCATTACAAATATGAAGTAAAAAATACAAGATTAACAAATTCAAATATTAAACCTTTTAATTTGTCACAAATCCGTATTCAATGAGCCATAGCTTCTCTCATCTTTAACATGTCAATTTTACCATCATGTAAATCACTAACAAATCCAGATTGATTCGTATCGATGCTTGAATTAGACGGTAATAAATTAATTAATTGTTGTTGCTTAAAGAATATTGACTTCTTCAAGCAGTATCCCAATGTCGTTTCAAATGAGTAGTGCTCTTAGATTTCAAGACAGAAAGAGGATGTTTGAGATACTTACACCTTACTTTACTTTGTTCGTTTATGATTTCAGGTTCTAAGAAATCATCCCACACCTTTGATCTTCTTGGAAAGGATTTTCAACCTCAACTTCTTTTGTTGTGCACTTGTGCTGTCAACAGTAGGTTCAGAAGCTTCTATATTGCACTCTTCTTTGTTATGTTCATCATCAACATTCACAAAAAACTCTTCAACTCTTGAAACACCAATGGGTGTTGAAGAACTTTTTGGTTCACTAGACATATATGAAAATACAAGAGACAATATAAATAAAAAATTAAAGGAATATTTATTTAAAGTTAAACAAACTCACTAAAAGGGAAAGGTATTGTTCGGTCGTGGGAGCCGGGACACGAAAGTATAGTCAAAGTTCGCCAACACACAGACACAAGCATTTAGTCAAACAATGGGGACGAAATGCTTCGATTCCTCAGTTTTGAAGCACGGTAGACTGGGGTTTTCTAATGAACATTTGTATCTTCTTCTAGTTGATCTTAGAACGATTAGCATATTAACTATTGAAAATGAAAATTCGAAATTGCGATAAAAAAAACTAGACAGATCTTAATGAAAACAAAGGGAAAGGGGCAAACCTGAGGAACCGAGAAAGGCGGCAATCCAAAAAAAAATCTCTCTTTTGTCAGTTCCCAACACGACCATAAACAATGGCCCTAGCATGTTATTGGACAGCTCACATTTAGGTGAGCATGTGCTTGGACAGTTCCCAACACACTTGATGAAATGAAACTGGCTATATTATCTGAATTCTGGTCGTGAATTCAATAATAATAATAATAATAATAATAATAATAATAATAGAAAAAGACATGGCGTCCCCGACAAAGATTTTGGAAGTACGGGCAAAGACAGAAGCAAGTTCCATTTTGATTTTTTTATTAAAATAAATTCCCCAAAAATAATGTGTTTATGTAGCTTGTTAGAAGTAGCTCGGGATTTAAGGGTTTTTTTGCTTGTTTGCTTCCAAGTTCCAACGTTGGAATGCGGTTCGAGAGAATGTTTGTCATTGGGAATAATTACTTATATTAATCCGACAGAATATTTTGTTTTGTTTTTTTTATTAAATTTTAAATTTTAAAATCTTGTAGTTTTGGTTTAATTGTTATATTTTTTAAATTTGTAATGTGACACGGGAATTTATTTTATGTGATTGCAAATATGAAACTGAATATAGGTAGTAATCAGATTGTTTGAATCAAGTTTGAATAAAGTTATTTTGGATCTAAATTATATCCGATTCAATTGATGTCAAAACGAATTCATTTTTTTATTTAATTCAAGTTTATAGTAAGTATGTTTAGGTCTAATCAAATATTGAGTTACGTTAATATCAAATCGATAAATTTTCAGGTCGTGTCAATAACAAATCGACTAGTTTTTTATTATGGCTAAAATTTAGATCTTCATGTTAATTTGGTTTAAGATATGAGTCCAATCAAATATATATAATTATTAATATATATTATTGTAAAACAAGTCTCTTATTGTTTATTAATTTTATCATTTAGGTTTAATTTAAACTTTCAATTGTTCAATATTTCGAATTCAATCATTATTTAGGGTTTATGATTTAGTATTTAGGGTTTATAGTTTAGAGTTTATGGTTTAGTATTTATGGTTTATAATTTAAGATTTAGGGTTTAGTATTTATAGTTTATATTTTAGGGTTTAGGGTTTTAGGGTGTGATCTAACATGTGTTTAAATAGATTTTTATTTTTCTTTTAGTAATATACAATGTAATAATTGGACTTGAGCTGGTTAATTAAAATTTTTAAAATTTGAGGTTAGTTGTATTATAAATTTTTTAATATATTTTTAAAATGTTATAATTATCAATAATTTTTTTATAATGTAATTTTAAAAAATCTATAATTATAATATAACATTTTTTCGAGCTGCTCACGAGCTTTTTGAGTCGAATATCAGGTAGCTCGTTTCGGCTCGTTAAGAACTCAAGTCGAGCTCGAGCTCGAGTCGAGTCCATTCGATCTGAGTATTTATCGAGTCGATCTCGAGTAGCTCACGATCTGTCTCGTCTCATTTACAGCCCTAGGCCTACCTAGGCCATGACCCACCCCATAACCCAAAAATAAAAAACATATATATTTTTAAATAAAAATATATAAAAAATATGTTAAAAATTATAAGGTAAACTACACATTTAGTATTTAAACTATTATTTCTGTTTTGTTTTAGTAATTAAACTTTATTATTTTCAAAATTATATCTAACGTTTAGTTTAAGTTTCAATTTTGCACCTCGCCTTTAAAAATTTAACAGAACTGCTGATGTGATATTTTTATATTTTTCAATGTTGACGTGACATTAACTTATGGTTAGACATCAACATCACTGTTAAGTTTTTTAACAACAGGGTACCAAAATGAAATTTAAACTAAACATTAGGTATGATTTTAAAATGAAATGAAATTTCATATCAAAACGGAACAAAAGTAATAGTTTAGATATTAAATATACCGTTTATCCAAAATTATATTGCTCTAATTGATTTTTTAGATTCAATTTAAATATATATAGTTGTTATAATATTTTTAAATTAAAAAATTTATATACAAATTATGTTATATAAATTTTTTATTGAATTTATATTGGCTCGCCCAATACATTTTTTCTGTATTCGTCTCTGTGTGTAGCAATTAACTAGAATTATGCCTTCATGTTTCATCCTTATAGTTGAATCCATTGTAGTGTTTGGGCCTCTCGACATTGATTGTTTTACCTTTTATGATTTTAGGATCCATGGGATAAACTATTCTTAAATTATTGTAAATAATTTTTGTTAGATTCAAAAAAGCTTATAAAAATATTAAAATATATAATTTAGAATACTTCAAAAAAAATTAATTAAAAATAGCCTTATATTAGAAATAAGTACCTAGCGTATATCATTTTTTTTATCTAAGTACCTAAAATATCTTTCTTGTCAAAATAAGTACTAAAGTTATATTTTTTTATCAAAATAAGTACTTAAATATTTTTTGGCCAAAAAAAGATACCTAAAGTATTCAATTGTTTGGTCTAAATACCTAAAGTGTTCTTTAATAATATCACTTGTCAACTTTTTTAGAGCTTAGCAGAAAATGATTTAACACTTTAGGTACATATTTTATAAATCGTTTATAAATATAACAAATATTTAGCAACGCATGTCAAATACTTAATTGACAATTTAATTTTAAATTATAATATTATTATAATGATAAACAATAATCAATGATTAATTAATATATTAATTATGAGTTAAGTCCATAATACTGTTTAATTAATGATGTTATAAAATTTAGGGTAAAGTATAGTAATGGTCACTAAATTTTTCTAAAGTTTTTATTTAGGTCCCCCAACTTTTAAAACTTACAATACAGTCTCTCAACATTTAGTTCGTTTGAAATATGGTCCCCCGACGTAAACATTTACGTCGGGGACCATATTGCAAAAGGATTAAATGTTGAGGGATCATATTGTAAATGAACTAAATGTTGGTGGATTATATTACAAGTTTTAAAAGTTGAGGGACCTAAATAAAAGCTTTAGAAAAGTTCAGTGATCATTACTATACTTTACCCTAATTATTATTATAATATTATATCGGATCGGATTGAGTTAGATTTTTTTCACTATAAATCTAAATCCAAATTAGTCCAAATATGAATTTTTTAAATAAAAAAGATTCGACCAAATCGAGTTGAAACTTTCAAATTCAAGTGCATAGTGAACCACATCATTGCATTAAGGGGGTGTTTGTTTAGCCTATATATATGCTTAATGTTAAATAGAGTTTTTATATCAGCTACCCTTTTAATCTTCTCTTTTAGGTTCGTTCCTTGGATATTTCCCTCATCACCTCATAATTCCATGGATTCCAGTTCCATACCATCGCTTTCCGAGGCATGTCCGGAGACGATGGACTTTCTTTCGCGTGCATGGTGTGACTTTGCGGTTCAAGCTTTACGACCCGAGGTATACGATCGATCGATCGTCATCGTAGACAATCCGATCAAGAAGTTTGAGAACGATTCCTCGATGTCATTCACTGTGAGTATCGAACTGCTTCATATAAGATGTTCTACTTGCATATAATGTATTGACGTTCATCAGTCCAAAGGGAATTGAGTAATTGCTTTTGTAAATGACAGAGGATGGAGCACAAAGGTTGATGCTACCGATTTCAAGTCGTCTTTGCCATCGTGGAAATCGAATGATGTGAAGGTAACATCGATGATACTGTTCCATTAATGCTACCAAGTACCGACGTACCGGCCTTATTCGTCGAAGTCATAACTTGTTTTATGTGTTTTCATTTTATGTTCAGTCATGGATATAGATGCAACAAGCTATGCATCCAGAACTGAATTACAGCAGCTGTTTACGAAAGAAATGGGTAGGTTTCATGTGATTCACCTACTATCTTAACTGGTACTCGTAGAGAAATTAACGTTTACGACTTGTCATCGATGTGCTCAGATGCCGTGGAAGATAGTCCCCTTCAAGGGCATTTCAATCAAGAAATGGTTGAAGGAGATTAAAGCTAAGAGGAAGGAAGAAGATAGGCTACAAAGAGCTGAAGTGCACGCAGCGATGTCGGTGGCAGGGCTAGCAGCAGCGTTGGCCGCAATGGCGGCCGAAAATTCGAAAAGGAACGATTGTAACATGACCAAGGAGGCTGCAATAGCCTCTGCAGCTGCTCTGGTTGCTGCACAATGCGCCAAAGTGGCGGAAGCAATGGGGGCTAAGAAGGAGCAGCTCGGCAGTGTTATAGGTTCGGCCATGATTGGTACTGGTGCAAGTGAAATCTTAACACTAACAGCTTCAGCTAATATATGTAAGTATAAACGTAGATATCCGATTTCCGACCATCGTCTTTTCGCAATATAGTTCGAAAACGAGTAACTCTTTGAACATATTCTAATAATTGTTGCAGCATTAAAAGGAGCTGCTACACTTAAAGCAAGAACAGGGTGCAGGAACAGATTCAATGGTAGTGCCCCCATCCTTCCAATCCAGGACACCGATGATTTTCGGTTCAAGTTCGAGAAGTGCAGGAAGATGCTAGCCAAGGGCACAGAGCTAGGAGTAGAAACTCCAGATGGTTAGTAAATTTCACTCTTTTTCTTAAAGAAAGATATAAAAGTACCATCAAAATTCAACATTCGAACTCGATTAAACTCGATAAAGATTTCGAGTTGGAGTCGTAAAAGCAATTTCTCGACAGGGAAATACAGGGTCAGATCAGTGTCCATAGTACTTGATGGTGAATCAAAGGTCAGACATAGTGAAGTCGAAGCTTAAATCAATTAGCAATAATTAAATACACTTAATCAAATAATAAACTTTAGGGTAAAGTATAGTCATGGTCACTAAACTTTTGTAAAGATTTCATTTAGGTCCCCCAACTTTTAAAACTTGCAATATAATCCCCCAATATTTAGTCCGTTTGCAATATGGTCCCTCAACATTTAGTCCTTTTGCAATATGGTCCCCGACGTAACTGTTGGGGGACCATATTGCAAACGGACTAAATGTTGGGGGACTGTATTGCATGTTTTAAAAGTTTAGGGACCTAAATGAAAGCTTTAGAAAAGTTCAGTGACCATTACTATACTTTACCCTAAATTTTAATGAAGTTACGAAGAAAAGCAAATGCAGAATTTAATTTAAATTATTCATGAAAAATTTTACAACGCTTGTCGAGCGTGGATGAGCGATGAGCACCATTAAATTAATTTATAAAATGTTAAATTATATAATTATAAATTAGTTAAAAATATAAATTTAATTTAATTAAAATATAATATTTATAAAACATAAGTTTTTAGGGTAAACTATACCATCGACCACCTAACTATTTACCCATTTACTTTAACCACCAAGTTTTCAATTAGTTAGGTGACCTGATTGACAAAATTAAAAAATCGGCAGTTAAAGTAAAAATGGTAAATAATTAGGTGGTCAATAGTATAATTTACCCTAAAAACTAATGTTTTATAAATAGTGTATTTTAATTAAATTACATTTATATTTTTAACTAAGTAATAATATACATTTAGTAGTTTATAATTTAACATTTTATAAATTAATTTAATGGTATTCGTCATTAAGGATGCTCATCCGTGCTCCTCAAGCGTGAGAGCAACATCCATTATTCATTCACTCGTTTTGAAAAATATTAATATAAAAGGAAAATAGTATAATTTCATTAATGATAATTCAAATATTAATGAAGTTGCAACATAAGATAACTTATATATCTGCTGGAGTTTAACTTAAATAGTTTATCCACTTGTGTTATTAAATTCTTAGATCCCACAAATTTTTATCCAATGACAACATTCTTGTTGTGTGGCATAAGAATTGAAGTTAAATCCCAGACATTAATCTAATTAAAAATAAAATCAATATTTAATAAGGTAAAATTCAATCCATCATCTCAAAAATCCCCTGAACTTATACCTCTTGTACACCGATATATACAACTCTATTTGATCCTCAATTTAAAGCTCAAAGTTTTAGTGACTAACTTATAAACATTTCAAATTAATTTAACATGTGATGCAATAGTTCTAGAAACTTAAAAATGTAATTATAAAATACTTCTTAAGAAAAAAAACTTAAGGGATCATCCTTTTTCGTATATTTCGAGCAAGGATAATGATCCTTTTTATAGTGATAGCCATTGGATCAGCCCTCTCACACAAGGAATCGATCCTTTCACTAGGATCACTCTAATTTTAGTGAACATACAAGGGAATGCTTTAAACATAAAGATTAACATGTTAAACATACAATTCATGTTTTACAACAACCAAAACAAGACATTAACATGCTTGAATTCAATGAATTATATTATTGGACATTTTAAGCATTTAGGTGCACATTATGACATATTTGGTCATTTTTACCTAAACTAAAAATCTTAGCATGCAATTGAAATTTCCATACTTTAGTTAACTCTTCAAGGTACAGCATCAAAGCATAGCATCGTCCAAATCAACATGAAAATTCACAAATTAACATGGTAACATTTAATTCAACATGCTAGCAATCATACCAACAAAGGCTAATCATCATCCTAAACATCCATCATGTAACTACTACAAAATTAAACCACGTGCAATCATCATTATGATTCATTTAATACTCAATGGAAATAAAATTTCAAAAATTAAACCAAAATCAAACAATTAAAGTCTAAATCCCTAATTATAGTTCATCATTGTTTGATATAGCGAAAATTGATCTCCTTATGATTCCCTTCTATTCCTCATAGAGGACAAACCCTTCTCATAATTGATCGACCTCAAGATGACTCAAATAGTCCAAACATGTAGATCATTTGTATAAAGCAAAGTGATTGCCTTATAACGCCTCTCGTGTATATCAAAGAGGTTGCCCATAAACTGGTAGAGTATACTCGAAATTCTAATGACATGACATTATATTCAAATGTTATAACAGAATTCTAGTGTGATCACCAATTTTCAACCAAAGCCCAAAATATAAAAACCGAACCTCAAGCCCAAACCCCAAAATATAAATCAAACCCCCATTAAAAAAACCCAAACCCAACCGAAGCCCAATCAGACCCAAAATCAAACCCAAAACTCAAAAACCCAAAATCTAGACTCGGGGCCCAAGACTAGACCCGACCCGGGTCTAACCTAGCCCTAGGGTAGCCGCCCAAACTCCCCAACCAGATGCCACCCTTCCTCTGCCCCAACCCGTGGCCACCATTTTCTCCCCCAATCATTGTCGAAGCCACCCGTGCACGCCACCATCTCCCAACACTCCATGCTCCTACAGAAGACACAAGCAAACAACAAAATAGCATCATTATTTTCTTTGTAAAAATGGGTATAAGACCCAGACGAAAAACAATGTAAAACTCTCTGAATGTTTTTAAAATTCCAGAAGCAATAAATTAAGCCATTCAAGGTTTTCATTTTTTTTTCAATTTCAAGCAGTTTTTTGTTTTCTCTTTTTCTTAATAAACAAAAAGGCTCCCTCCAATTTCGAAAAGACAATAAAATATCAGCATTTTACATATTTTGTTTTATTTTTTCCACTAAAACGTACAAATTAAAACAAAGGGGAAAAGAGAGTGCTTACATTCAGCCAGACCCTTGCCGGCGGCCGGGGTCTTCTTCGCCAATCTGAACGATGAAGAGGGGCACCTTGAGGAGGGGAGAAAAATATCTCGATTTGGGCCCGATCCAACAACGGACAGCGAAGATCCGGGTGATGGAAGTCGAGAAGGTCTTGGTCATTTTCATGGCATTGGAGGCCGTTTCGTGCGACGAGGAGCCCGAGATGAGTCTTCCAGTGAAATTTGGTGGCCAACAATATACGTTTTTTGTAGTCCCAGCAGCCCACCATTACAAGCCAACCCAGCACCACCAAGGACCCAGATTTCAGACCCAAACCGACCTAGTACCAGGCCCAGCAGCCCAGGATCCGACCCAACCCAGCACCAAGCCCAAGATCTAAACCCGTTTGCTACCCAAAAAAGAATTAGAGTTTCTAATCCTTAACTAATCCAGCTGCCGTCGTCGTTCACAGAAGTTGTACCATCCATCACCGGCGCGTGTGATGCACGCGCCGACTCTTAAACTCCCAGATCGGCTCGTGAGCCACCACCGAAAACATCCCTAGCCGCCATCATCATCATCCTACCGAACAGTGAACAAATCAATCAATAACAAACCAAATCAAAACCTTAAAAATAAAAAATACCCTAAATCCCTAAAAAAATTAGAATTTTACCAACCCCAAATCAAAAACTCATTCCTTATATCCTATATCTCACGATATCTATCCAGAGAGCACCATAAATCGAAAAGGACAGAGAAAAGGGAAGCATTTGGGGGTACACGAAAAAAAATAGAAAAGAGTAAATTCAAACAAAAAGAAAAAGAGATAGAGGAACTGAAAGGTTGCCTTTCGAGCCATCACCGTTGGGATCATCATCGAGCCAAGGCCATCAAGGTTCGAAGGTAACCATTATACCATTCAGATCTAGGGTGAAAGGTTTTATTAGGAAAAAAGAGGGAGAATCGGGGTTTTATGGTTGGTTGTTTTAAGCGTCGACCGCCTCTCGGCCGTTCGAAACGTCGTGGATCAATGGCTATTTGAAGGGTTTGGGGAGACACTTCATAACTCTATCCTTTCTTTTTTTCGGGCAGAGGATGAAATGTGAGAAGTGAGGGTTTCTAAACCCTTAAAGTGGCATATAACCACTAAATAAAATGGCGCCGTTTTGGGCCTTAGGGTTTCATGTTATCGGCTCATGGGTAAATCACGTAGGGAGGGTCTCTATTTTGTACAAGTTTTATTCTGGTCACTTAATGAAAATGTTATATTACTATTTCGAGCCTATTATTTGATTTATGTTCCTTTTAGTACCCATTTTAAGTGCCTTAGTACTTGTGGTTTATTGCTCATTAGGTCATGTTTATTCTGTCTCGGTTATCTTTTAGTCCCTGAAATTATTGTATGAAATATTTGTGTTTCATTTTCACTGGCAATGTATATGTAGTTATATTTGTACTTATGTATGTAATAGGTGTATTTATTCGAAACATGTGATTCAAAGATTTTTTTCTCGAGATAAATGTATTTATTGTATAAGCTTCGTTATTTCAATTAATGTATATATGTATATTAAGTTACCTTTTTTACTTTATATATTAATGTGTATATGTTGGTTATCATAATATGTTTATTTATTAATTAAATTTTATGTGATATGAGATATACATATATTTTTCATGAACATGTATTTGTGGAACGGGCGTGGAAAGTATCACTAGATTAAAGTGGTACAATCCGATACGACTTTCGAATGAAATAGGACTTGAAATAAATCTAGTTTATTTTATTAATTAAATCTTTTATGATTCAATGCATTTTTATGTAGCAATTTATTTGGCTGTTTGCGAATTTCAATATTCCATTTATATTCGATTCGAGATTTTATGGAGGAAGGAATATTCTTTACAGATAAGAAATACACGAGATAGCTTTCTCGATGGAGGATTGCTAATTTCAAGATTTCTTTTCAAGTTAAAGGATTTTCCCTAACAAATAAGTCAAAATAAATTAATTAACTTTAATAAATGAATCATACTTTAATTATCGATGCAAATTCACAATTTCTGCCATTACGACAACATGTAAGTGATTAAATACCAATTTTTTGGGCACTGTGGTGGTATTTATCCTTTCCCATGCTAACT